ACAGTCTGACACCTGTAAGACTCAAACACACATGACACATTAGGAATACACACAGAACATTAGTTATTGCAACAATCATGAAATTATACTCTATGGATTTCACAAAAAATTGACTGCATTAGCAAAGGTAAATGTATTTTAATTATCATATGGCTGGTTTTAATGTTTATAAGAAAAAGTAAGAAATTGAATAGAGTTGCAAGCGCTAGTTAGCTTGCTACCAGCAGATGAATGGATGTTTAATATTTGCAGCTAACAATAACAAAAATAACGACTGTAGTGGCTCATTTAAACAGCCACAGTGAGAAGAAGTGAAAGTCTCTGACATTGAAGACCTGGGAAGACATTAAATCCATTTATTAAACAAAGCAATACATGAACATTAAACTCTCTTTCTGCAGCAGGTAACATCTGTGTGCTCCTATGGTCCCTATGGTCCCACATGGTCCCACACCTGAACTCAACTCCAACTGATGACATCACAGGTGTCTAAATGATGGGAGTGTCCCAAATATTAAAGCTGATCTCCCTGTTTTTAAACTTAGTTAACTAAGTACTGTTGTCTTTTTGCAGTTTATAAACCATTGTGAAATATACAGTAACTTTACATTTTAGAATTGAATTATTATTTTAAAACTCAAGAATCTTAACCTTTTTTAACACATAGTTTGTTGGACAGTCTAACCTAAGAATTCTAATGTGTTAAAAAATAGTTTGAAATATGAAAAACAATATCATATTTTAAACTTTAACTTAAAAACAAAAAATAATAGGAAAAAGATAACAGATAAGTAATTCCAGCTTAAAAGAAGCCGTGCAGATTTGTACATTAGAATAAAAAATATTCAAAAGCAGCTGAGAACAGGTGGGTCTTTAACCTGGATGTAAACAAACTGAGTGTTTCAGCTGATCTGAGGCTTTCTGGGAGTTTGTTCCAGACATGTGGAGCATAGAAGCTGAATGCAGCTTCTCCGTGTCTGGTTCTGACTCTGGACTCGGATCCAGATGACATGAGGGGTTCTGGTTGGTTCATAAGTTATGAACAAGGCACTCAAACAACACTTTTGCACATGTTCGTTAAGGCACAGCAAACAGTGACAATCTTATCTAAAGGCATTAGGTTTTCACCCTCACATTTGAGAAGCATATGCACAGGTACAGTTGAATGTAAGACTTTGAATTTGTTGCGCACAACACCAATCACCCTCTCAACGTGAATTCTGAGATGGAAGGTCTAATCTGAGGCGCATTACAGTCAATAGGACAAGCTGGAAGGGTGAGAGCTTCCTCATCCTTCCTTGAGGCAGCTGCTGGGCCGGCGATGGGGGCTGCTGGGCTTGGGCTGGCGATGGAGGCTGCTGGGCTTGGGCTGGTGATGGAGGCTGCTGGGCTTGGGCTGGCGATGGAGGCTGCTGGGCTTGGGCTGGTGATGGAGGCTGCTGGGCTTGGGCTGGCGATGGAGGCTGCTGGGCTTGGGCTGGTGATGGAGGCTGCTGGGCTTGGGCTGGGAGTGATGACTGCTCCAGATTAGAGCCCTGCACTTGAGCCCTTGGCCCGAGGGCCCGACAGCCCGAGGGCCGGGCTTCGGGCCGATGACCGCATAATGACCTCGGACACGGGCTCTTCATTTTCAGAGCGGCAGAATAGATTTACGAACGCACCCACTGAATATAGCGTTCTATCACGCTGTAGTGTTTGTTGTTCTGTGTAGTGTTGTCATTGACGGCACATAGCATTACTTACAGGTGTGTTGCAGCATCTGGGCATCATACAGATGCGGCCGTTCACTCTGCACCACTCCGCACACACAGAACTCATTGCAACACATCACTACCATGTATAACTCCGCCCTCTAGCTAAGTCTGCGTTCATATCAGTGCGCGGCACTATATACTACGCTAAAACATTGTTATGGGAGGTAAAAAAAAAAAAAAAGGCGGGCTTGATGCGGGTTTCGGGCCTGAAAATTGAGAAACCATATCGGGCCGGGCCGGGCTGGGGCGCCACCCCCTCGGGCCAGGGCCGGGCTCGGGCCCAGATAATAGGCCCGTGCAGGGCTCTACTCCAGATGCTGGGTACTGCGCTTTACTTGCCGCTGATATCGCGCTCCATCTGTTTCTTTAACATTATTGTGGCCTAACCGCAAGGATGGTGTCCAGTCAGGGTGATTCTCCAACATCTCATATGATGGTTTACCTAGAACAGAATAATGTATGTAGTCAATGCTTTAAACTGGCAACAAGGTAGCATAATGTCATGAACAGAATCTCAACTATTTTTAGCAATCTCATATAATGGTTTACTTACATCAGATTAATAAAATTATTAAACAATCTGGAATCTAAAGAAATATTAAACAAGAAGGTAACGCTATTCATGGTTTCATAAAAGGGCTCAGGGGGTAGTGGAAACACAAGACAAAAAAAAAGTTTGGGCACCACTGGTTTAGAGAACATAAGAGACAGAGACAAACGCACTTTGAGTGCCCATATTCCACCAACAAGGTAGGATAATGAGCAGAAACTTAAATATTCTTAGTTAACATTAATGGTTGGCCATTAAGCATTTTCATAGAGGCAACAGTTTGTTAGATAGTTAGCTAGGCAGCTAACTTAAGATGCACTTCAGTGTTTGCAACATTAACAGCTAGGTAACCTACACTTCTTAACTTTAAAAAAACAACATAAAGACATTTTAGGACGTACCCGAGTGAAAATGCAGAGAACACACTCTCATCGACTGGGGGTGAGATCCAAAGTAAGGTTCTTTCTTCTTATTGCAGCCAACCAAGCCATCCGGCGTCTCTTCGTCAGGTCAGACACCTGCGCTCCCTGATGTTGTATCCATTTTGGTGGCCTAAAAAATTGTAAACCGTTGTTCCTACGTTTTCCTTTCTTATTGTGTGAGGTACTGGAGCAGTTTTTCACACAGCAATGAGCTCCAGGCATGGTAAAACAGAAATAGCGACGACCTCCTTTGCTACCGAGTTAACAACAACAAGTGTTTGCCGCTGGGATCCTACCAACATGGCGGAGACGGGGAGGGGCTCTGTGCTATGACGTCAGCTCCTCACTCTCAATAGATTCATGCACTGGCAATTCAAAATACAGATAATATACAAAATATACTTAACAAAATCCACGTATACGTGAGAAAACAACTTACTTTCTGTCTCCAACTCTTTTCAATGTGGAAATGATACATCTATATCTAAAAACTGTGCAGACTGTGTACTTACTAGAGAGGGTGATTCCAAGTAGCTAAATAAAGCAGGGCAGCGACAGCGTTGAGTTTCGCTGATCGCTCTCATTTGTCGCCTCCCGTGTGTCGAGCCCTTCAGGCTGTAAAGCCGTTATACTCGCGCGGCGCATAAGTGTGCGTCGGTTGTTTAGGGTGTTATGTATTATTTTGTCACAGTAGTCTGGATAAATGCCTGGCCGTGGTGTAGCGGTTGCGTAATGAGACTTCAGTCCCAACGACGCAGGTTCAAATCCCCGTCGGAAAACTTTTTACTTTTTACTTTTTAGCGAACAATTTTTCTGTTTGGTTAAAAACGAATAAACACTCAACATAAGATTCAGTAGTGGCTAATAATAAAACTTGTGAACCCATGCATTTGCATACAATCTCAAGTGCTCACCCCTTATTTGCAAACTTGAGATTGTTAGCACAACAAATGCATACATTCACAAGTTTTATTATTAGCCACTACGTAATCCTATGTTGAGTGTTTATTAGTCTTTAACCAAACAGAAAAAAATTGTTCGTTAAAAATCAAAACAAATATGTAAAGATAATAATACACACACGTGGGCTCGAACTCACGTAACCAAGGCTGCACACATTTGCTTAACCACTACACTACCGTCAGGTACACTTGCACCGCTTCACAGCCTATATATTGTATTGCTAGATCAAGACGTACTGCGTCGGTCAGCCGATGACCTGTTTTCGACGTCTAAGGGAGGTCGGGATTGAACGTCATATCCACGTATATGGGAGGTCATTGTTTTACGTCCAGATGCGCACCTTGCACAGACGTCGTTTGGACGTAAATAAAAGGTCACGACCGACCGACGCGATATTGACGTGATCTGGAGGTTGAGTGGACGTCGGATGTTTAGTGGGAAGCTTCATAACACCCACACACAAGTCCATACACACTAGGGCTGGGCGATATGGCTGAAAACTATATCACAATATAAGTAATTCATATCGGTCGATAACAATATATATTGATTGTTTTTTATGTATTTTTTAAAACGTAAATAAATACATTTGTCGTGTCGGCTAACACATGTTAGCAGCCTTGTTTACAGTCACGGGGGAATGAGGCTGGAGCCAAATGTTCACAAGCAGTCTCCCCCACTTTAGTCCTGGTTTAATCCTGGTTTAGCTCCTGTTTTGGCTGTTTTCGAGTGTCTTGTGTCCCCGTGGCGGCTCCGGAAAAAGTTAATCTCTTGCTTTTGCCGAATGCATGGAGTCTCTTTACCCACTGCCTCTCCTGCGCTGCACATGCTGTTCCTTGCATGGACATGTTTAACCATTGACACGGCACTGAAACACGATCTATATGGCTATTATAATAGATCCATGATCCATGGACGCTACGCATGGTGCGGTTGTTTTTTTGCTTTTCCCAGAAAGTTTTGCGGTTTGTAGTTGTCTGTGATAGGTCGAGAAGCTGTTGCCTACATACCCCAGAATGCCGTGCGCTTCTGACTCGCCTTTACTTCCTGTGTTTTGTTACTGTTTTTTTCGAACGGACTGAAGTGAAACTATCGAAGTTCTATCGACCCCGTTTTCTATTGATATCGAACACGTGTCTATTGCAATATATATCGTTATCGTTTTATCGCCCAGCCCTAATACTCATAATCAGAATGATAACATGAATTGCCCATTTATGTATAGGATCGAGAGCATGCTCAGGGACTAAAAGGAACTCAAATAATGTATACATTTTCTTATTGGCCAATTTTTTTTTCATTTCCTCCCAGATTGGACATTATCAACCAATTCTTGGTCGTTCCTGAGGACTCCCACCCACCTCCTCCCTATGCTGCTGACTCGGGACTTGTGGGGAAATGGCTGAGGCCTCTGCTCCAGCAGCTTGAAGGGGGCCCCCGTCTCCGTCAGCCTGAAGGGCCCTCCCATCTCCGCCCTCGCCGACACTTGAGCTCTCGAGGCTCTCGTGGCTCTTGGGGCTCTAGGGGCTCCCATCACCAGGGCCAGCTCATGAGAGTGGGCTGTAAGTTGGGCACATGTCAAGTACAGAACCTGAGCCACAGACTGTACCAGCTAATTGGACAGAGCGGCCGCGAGGACTCGTCGCCCATCAACCCAAAGAGCCCACACAGCTACGGATAAAAGCCCCCTCCTCATTATTTAGCTATTTATGCTGCTGTCTTAGAGTTTACTGTATGTCTTTGCCTTTCCTTTTGCTAAGTCACAAAGCTATCACTGCAACAACTGAACACCCACGTACACACACACGTCCACTTCACACATACTTGTCCACCCGCCTCACACACACACACACACGTGCGCACTTCTCATCCACACACACGTGGCCTGCCTTTCATATTCTCATACATAAGAATTCATATATTTTATACAATATGATATACTGAAATTAAGATAAATGTATTCTAATACCATTTGAACTGACTAAAGTACAATACATTTGAACTGAATCCTGAATTTACTGTTGGTAATTTTATATAATCTTGAAACAAATTATTGTTGTGAGGATTTTAATGTACAATACAACAATGTTACTGTTCTGATATTTCAAGATAGTAGTTTTTTTGGACTTTACTTCTATAACTTGATGGACTTCATGGTCTCCACAGGCGCCAGGGTGCACAATATAAATATACCACAGAATTCTATCCTTTCCTACACATTTGACATAAGTCTGTAATGGGTAGGGTCTTGTCCCCCATATGTTTTTCAACCAAGTGGATTCAAAACCAATGCTACCGCCAAGACCTCTCAAAAGGCTTGGATACGCAAACTCTGTCGCCTCTGCAACAGTCTTGTGCTGAGGTCCAAACATCCAACACATACTTTGGATTTGTGGCCATACTTGCATGCAAAAGCCAGATCCCGTCAGACCTTTGAAGCTGTTTAAGGCACGGTCCTTAGTCAAGACACTTCACCCACATTGCCTAGGATGGGTCTAGTATGTGTGTGCATGGCTGGTGGTGGACGAGCCCCAGGGCAGCTGTTGCTATAGTAGTTGATCACCACCGTGTTTGGAGTTAATTTATGATGACATGTGAAGCGTCTTTGAGAGTTAAGAAAAGCGCTTAATACAACTGATGCAGTATTACATTACTATCATCAACTCCCAAATGTTTTGATTGTACAGTAAACGCATAAAAATCATCATCTGTGGATTTTTGGTCTAAATGATGAAATCAGAAAGACACGGTGGCTGAGTGGATAGCACTCTCGCCTCTCAGCAAGAAGGTTCGGGGTTCGAATCCCGGTCGGACCAGGGCCTTTCTGAGTGGAGTTTGCATGTTCTCCCCGTGTCTGCGTAGGTTTCCTCCGGGTGCTCCGGTTTCCCCTACCACTAAAAATATGTGCAATAGGTCTGGCATGTGCCTCCTGTACTGGCGACCCCGCTCCCAAAAATAACAATTGTAAACTGCTTTGAGACTCCGATGTGCAGTGAAAAGGCGGTATATAAATAAACATTACATTACATTACATACACTAGCTTTTTAATCAAGATTAAGTTTTGGCCATTGCTTTAACACTCTCACAGCCTTATGACCGATGGATGGAAAAGTAGCATCTCAGTCCATAGCCAGCTACAAGAAATGTCAAAATGGCCTTTTTTCCCTAATTTTTTTTACTGAAACTGGCCTTTTTGGCTGTTGCCCTGTTAAAACTGTGATTCTTTGAAGCAGTTCATGTGCTTATAATGTTCTGCATGGCCTCTTTGAATCGATTACATTCCTTTCATGAGTGAACAAGAAGTGAGAGGGTCCCTCAGCTTAGGCTTAGTGATTTATGACTTGTTTTGATGGATTGTTTTGGTCATAGGTTGCTTGGTTTGCATTACACAGACCTATTTGTTTAAGATAAGATAAGATAAGATAGACTTTATTGATCTCACACAGGACAAATTTACAAGTCACATCTGGCATGGATAGAATCACTCAAGATTGTATAAAAGAAAGAATTGTGCAAATATGTTGAATGCAGGATATATTATGTACAATAAAAAGTGGCAATTCAAAGTGGCAATCAAGAAACAGTGTCAATAGTAGTGCAGATTTTTCAGTCCTAATGCAAGTGACTTAAAGTGACTTATTGTAGAGTCTGACAGTGGTGGGGATAAAGGCCCTGCGGTAGCGCTCCTTCTTGCACTGAGGGAGCAGTGCAAGCTGTTTAGACTTCCTCTTTAGGCTCTTCTCTGCTGAGCCGCTAGTGTCTAAGATATTTGAGGGCTGGATGAAATGTGTGCAAATCCACATCAGCTGTAATGGCGATTCAGTTCATGTCTTTACATACAATTCCTTAAAGAGCGACTAAACACCTGTGCCCAGCCCAACTCCGCCCACATGAACATTTGAAAATGTTGTCTAAAAAGGGCGTTGCCTGAAGGACCAGGGGACATGAAGGGGGGCTTAGAGTTGGGCTTGGTCTGGGCTGTGATTGACAGCTCGCTTGTCACACAAAAGATAAACAGACAGTTATCATTGCTGCTTAAAGCAATAGTTTACACACCAGAAAGTCTCATTCCACCCCTGTTTACGCACTAAGATAATTGTAGAGCTACACACCTGAACCTAAGCCACTGAATTATCTCAGCAGAAGTGGGGGTCAATTGATGTAATTTAATATTTATCCACTAGATGTCGCCAGAATACTCCAACCTGCTACTGGGGCGTGTGTGAGACTTAGATGGGTTTATACCATTGGCGCAGAGAGACGCACGTCACACATACCAACTGACATCACACATTACTCTAGAGCCAATGGAGAGGCCAAAATTCCAATGTAGTGCCACCAAAAAGGTAGAGAGGGTGCCACACAGACGGTTTTAGGCTCAAAATGGAGATTTTATCTAATTTGCACTAAAATGTCAAAAAACATTATCAGGACATGTAGAGAGCACTATAAGAAACATATTTATGCAGTTTATTAGTTACAAAAAAGTTGATTTGGTGTTTAGTTGTCCTTTAATATGTTGTAGACCAATAGAAGTGGCAGCAGGCGAAGCACCAGTGAAGAAGTGAGAACGCTGCTGGACCCAAAATTCACACTTTAATATATATATATTTTTTCAGTAAAGGTCAATATAACCTTAAAGCTTATCTTATTAATCACATTTTTGTTTGAAATATGGCAAATTGTGTCACACTGTGTTTGTCGACAAAATGGAGTATACTGTTTTGAAGAAACTCCTCTCGTTAACTATATGAGGACATGCAGTTATTTTGAAGGTATATCCCAAGTTAGCCACCCACATTTTTCTTCGACAAAATATTACCAGGAATGTGCCTTGTTCACACTAAACATACAGCTTGTTACGTTGTGGTTTCCTAATGACAAACCTCAGCTCCCAAAATGGATGCTGTTCTGAAAAATATGCCTATGAATGTTAGCTCAGCACGTCCAAATCTTGTGTGTTCTTTTTTAGTGTGGCTCAAAATGGTGGGCAGACAACATGCTGGAAATAACTTTGAAAGACTAGACCTGTATTTAACTCAGAGAAATTGTTAAGTGGACTTTAGTGGTGCACAAAGTTACGTGCGGGTTATTGATGTTATGTGGCTTTTGATTAGGCTACAGTAAACTGCTGATTTGAAGTTTGCATGTGTCCCTATCCTGGAAACACTTGACACTTGATGTTCTCTTGGAAGAGTGACATTTATGATCCTAATCCTAATCTGCTTTTTTCTGAAATGGACCTAACCAGTGTCTCTTGATTAAAATCTTTAAAACTAATACTGCCCTGTCCACACATTTTCACATCAAAACAGGTTAGGTGAATATCAAATCATTTTGGATACTACTCATAAGGGTTGGTATCAATTAATCTAAAATGATCAGTGACTGGTGGAAAAAATAACATAACATTATGGCTTCCAAAAATGGGAAGAAGTAATTTGCAGTTGTACTTAGCTTTATCATGACATTAACATTTCTTATAAACTCATAATCAGAATGTGCATAGTCTAACCCAACATGGGGACTTTTCTCAGCAACAGTTTCCCCTTGTCATGTCCTTCATCTACAATTTGAGCAGAGCCTTAGCTGTGGCCACAATTACGATGACAGCATGTAAAGAGAAAGAGCTCAAATCGATACAGTAGGACTGAATAAAGAGTGCTGACTCGTTTTTGATCAATTCTAATATTTGTAATGTACTTAATGCTTATTATTGATACCCAGGTGTCAGAAAATTGAAATATATACTGTAACAATAAACCAAATTAAAACTTCTCAAATCCCCACGCTTTAGCTGTTATAATGCCCTTTTTTCCCAATGGAAACTCTTTTGACCTTATCAGCTCTGTGTGCCGTTGCACTTTAAACGTGACAAGACTTTTGACGTCAAACATTGCTAAATTTTTGTACAGTGTGAGCAAATAATGCTCCGGTGATTTCTTGAAAGTGAGAGCGTGCGGTGGCTGCAGTTAAGCCTGGATCTCTGTTTGCTCTTCACATGCAGAGCAAATGGAAGCAGTTCCAGTAGGAGCCAAGGCAAAGTCTGCTTCACGTTTTGTTTGTGATGGTGAGGTGGCTTTAGATCCTCGGGAAACGTGGCTTTGAGTCACTGGAGTCAAGTTTCTGACATGTTTGGTTAAATGCCACATATTTGGTCCATAATGCAGTTATAATTGATATTTATGAAGGTGCGCTGTGTTTGTTTGGAGACGCAACTGAAATGCCACATAGACTAAACCATTGCCACAATGTGGGGGAAGTGTCTAGCACGGAGAGAACAAAGTGCATCTTTTTGCAGCCATCTTTCACAAGTGAATGCAAAACAATGGAAAGTTGTATTTAGACTTGTGTGATTCTTGCATTGTGGGGTCATCTTTATTCTCCTGTGTTCACATCAACAGCAACCAATCAATCAATTTATTTATTTCAAACCTGCACAAACATTGTTTAAGACACTTCCTCTTGTAAACCATATGCATGGTTTGAAAAGGGGGTTGGCAGAAGCAAAAGCTTATTTATATCCAACCACCTCTCACACAATCTCCACAACACAACCACAATGCAACATATCAAAAACACTAAAAGAAAAAAGAAAAACCCAGAAACAAATCTATATCCCCTTAAACTACCCCTACCAGTAAGGTAAAGTAGAGCATATAATAATTCAATACTGTAGC